ATTTTTGATATATATATATTTGACAATATTTACAACCATAACGAACCGTTTATTTGCCTGAGCAGTAGAAATTTGAACATTACAATTATAAATTGCACTGACCACTTTTATATTACGTGACTGCTCTTTGAACTCAACTTTGATATATATCATTAAGTGAGCTTATTGTACTCTCCAAAAATCCTAAAAGTCACAATAGTTCAAGTGATTCCACGTTTTAAAAATTTGAATGTCTTTTATATAAAAGATTAATCCTTTGACTAAATATTAAGGAACATATATCATTTTATAAGCAGACAATGTATTTAAGCACATATAAATCCTAAGCAAAGAAAATTTTAACATTCGCTTTCGAGACCTCCATGTAGCATGTAAGATGAAGAAGTAAATGGAATTTTTAAAATAACTCTAAAATCTTAACTAAATTAAGATGATGTTCTATTTGTTTCTATAAACGTTATTTAGTTGTTTCAAGTGTACTCAGTTACTGTACACCATATTTGCTTCAGTAAAATTATTTCTTAAATATTTTTATTTTTTATTCATGGTTTATAAGACAGTTTGAACTGAATATAATATTCATAATATATCAAAATTTCTCAGTACTCTTCAATGAATAAATATCTGTTTATGATTTTGTTAATTATTTTTCAGAATAACTGGTTTATAAAGAAGAGTAACGTATTATAATGTAAAGTACGCTATGTACAATGGGGGCAGTTCAGTATCTTCCTTTCTACTGGGCCAACTGACGAAATGAAATTTGTATTTTTTCTATCTCGAAAGCGTGACTTAGGATATATATTAGATCCGATTATAGCACTAATCTAATATAGCTATTTTGACACGAATCGGACTATTTTTGAAACTACATACCGACTTTTTTTCATATTTCGATTCTACAGCTCAAATCATTTTGCCAAGTTTCATAAAAATCCTACGAGTAGTTTTTAAAAAAATTAGCTTTCAAAATTTAACCCCTCAGTGTTAATTGAATTTATTGTATATTTATTAAAATCTCATTTTTTATTAAACTTAATTGATTTCTTCTTTCACAGTTCGGAGTTTAGGTTCAATCCAAATAAAATTCGCATATATTTTCTGGTTTATTTTTAAAATGTATATTTTAATAATTTTTATAAAATTTTCGAAAAACGTTTGAATTATAATCCATCAAATTTTTGCCATCAAATTTAAAGTCGATGTATTTCTAGGCACACCTGCATGAAATTAATTTTTTATTCAAAATTTCCGAAGATATACGTGAATTTATATGTTGGCGCTTTTTGAAATTTGGCATATTTGTTGTAAGCAGTAATAAGCAAGTTCTCTGCTGTGTATTACTTTTCTATGCAATGGTGAATATCGCATGTGGTTTCGTCTTAAACCCGCATTTTCAACATTTTTTTTTTAATTTAGAAAATTTGGTTTTTTTTCTCAAAACCGCTGCTAAAGTTAAATTACTACTTAAAGCTGATAACAGATGGCAGCACCAAATCTTTCTGGGCATCCATTAACTCTTTCGCATCGAGAGACGACCAAATCTGTTTTCAACAAACATCGAAAACGCCCGTGTTTACGAATTTGTCTTGGAATAGTTTTCCTTTCTCCCTTTTGCGGTTTCATCCATTCATCCATTGTGCGCAGTTTCACCTTAGGGCCGGATTGCACCTGCGGACGTCAATAGCTTTCCGTATTTCTCCTTTATTTGCTTCAAAAGAATGATTGACATGTCTTTTAACAACTCGCGAAACCAATGAGCCATACACTAACGTGGAGGGGAAAGAACTAGGTAGAAAATAAACGAGGCGTTCGGGCGGTTTGCCGTTTCCTGAATGAACGGGCGCTACGGCCGATTTCGATGCGAAAGAGTTAATTGATACGAATTATTCAAAAGTAGCTTCTTTTCCACACTTTGACCCATTTTAAGAACAAAAAACCCCCAAATTTTTTATTTTTCGATATTATATTTTATAAGCAGGCATCAATGAGTAACGAAATGTCCTTAGTTCACAAAAAAAAAAAAAAAAAAAAAAAAAAAAAAAGTAATGGAACCCTTTTTAATTTTGAATGTTTTCATTGCGGTTTCAGTATGAAACCACCGCCCCTCTGAGACATCGAAGAAAGGATCAGATGACGCAGTCGCGATATTTTTTGCAGTTGTGTTTATTGCTTTCGAATGACTGCTGTAAACAGTTGCACCATATCTTCATTTGAGTGGCTTCAATGATGAGGATTTATGGAGGTTTTGAGAGAGGGAAAACATTTCTTATTTTTTACAGAGACACAGAGCACACTAAAAAACACTCACAGTTGCGTTTTTATTATGCTTATCTTAGCGGTCGCTTTTCTGATGCTTCTAGTTCATAGTAAAATAATTGTATGCATCTTAATTTATTTTATTTTTACATATAATTTTGTTAGTTTTTAACATAATTTTTAAAAATATTTCATAGTTTTATGTAAGTAATTTAGTGCATTATTAGTTACTTTTTGTCTCATACTTTTTCGTTTCCTGTTTTAAATTTTTTATTTATAATTAAAAATGCGTGTTTATGCAAATATTACTTACTTCATTAGTTGTTCAGTAATTTACTAGTATAATCTGCAATTTGGGTTACGCTCAGATACTTTTCAGCAAAGTAAAGATAAATAAGCAAATGTTTAGTCTTAAATGCTCTAGAGGGGCGCTGGTTTCAAGGCGAAACCGGTCCCCTTTCCATAAAGGGGGACGAAAAAATTTTTTTAAACTCATTTATGTTGTCTATAGGACCATTGCATGTCATTATGCTTACTTTTTCATAACTTTTAAAAAATCATAACATTGCGCCCCTGAAAGGGTTAAATAAATGTTTGTCATGTATATGGAAGACGTAATTTTATTCTTCAGTTTTCGCACTTTGTTAAAATTATTAGAAGGAATGGAAGCAATTTTTTTCCCTCTAGTACACAATAAAAGGAAAAGAAAATAGATTACCATAAATTAAGAATTTCTCCAAGTGAATTATTTTTGTCCCAAATTGAAAAAAAAAAAAAAATCGACAATCTAAATTTTTAAATTTATCGATGAGTTTCTGACCAAATTTTACAAAAATTAATATTTATTTAGACATAATTTGAGTAGTAGAATCGAAATATGAAAAAAAATGGCATATCAGAAAATATCACAGGAGATATTAGAAAATGTCCAGTTTTGTGTCAAAATATCTACATTAAAACAATGCTGCATATAAATCTAACATATTTCCTAGATATAGAATTGTCCCATTTTTTTTTCCAGAGTGAACATCCACTTGAGCATTATATTTGAAATTTAAAATACAATTTTACCAATTGAAAGTACAATTTCAGGAATGATCGAAAATACAAGTAGAGTATTCAGACAAATATTTCGGAATGATATCTGCTACCGTAATCCCCCAATATTTTCAAAATACAAAATCCCGCATATAAACCTAACATTCCTTTAACATAAGCTTCCAATATTAGGGTAAAATCGTAAGAGATCTTGTGTACATTCTTTTGATACGAAATATAAAATTGGTATCCTTAGACCAATCTCAAGGATCCTACAGCTACTTCAAGGAAGTGGAATAGTAGATTTTCGTTTTGCTGATGTTTCATAAGGGAACTTTCATTTTTCAGCATCTTGCGAGGTTAGGTTCTTTCAAAATATCATTTCTTAAAAGGGCTAACTAATAGGGCGGGCAAAACTAATAACTGTAAATTTAACTCAGAAGTTATATAACATTGTATATAATTCCATTACATACATTTTTAGCACTTTTGGTGGCTTCCGAATGCTATAATGAATGAACCATAGCAAAAATATCATTTGGACTGTATTCTATTCAATTACATTTTAACATCCTTTTTAATTAAAGCAAAGAGAACTGCTATATATACAGGAGTTTTATACAGATATAATGATAATAAAAACTAAATATATTATATTAGCATAAATAAATCAGAACTTTACCTATGCAGAGTACTTATACTGCATCAGAATATTACTTAGCTTCTTATTTCATGTCTATTATTATTAAAAAATGTAATCTGATGCAGAAACATTTTAAATTAAAGAAATAATTATTACTCTGCTTATAATAGTTTTTATCAGAACTGCACTGAACAATATTTCAAAGCATAATAGTTCAGGAAAAATCATCATTATATAATGCTTCATCATTTCCTGTATGTTCTTTACAAAAACTCCGTATTTCAAGTTTATCATCTTAAATTGTAGTTAAATTAATTATGAGTTAATTATATCCAAAATATGTAAGCTTTTGCCTAATAGTTTGTTATCATTTTTTAACATATTCCAAAGTATTACTCGTCGATTTGCTTTTTCAAAAATTCAACTTTTACAATATTCGGCCAAAAACAAAGTAAACTGTCAATTGATAAAATGTGTTGCATATAAAAACTATATTTCATATACCGAATTAAACTATTTTTAATCCTACAAGAGATGGGTATACACAGAAGTCCACACAGAAGGATAGCTTTCCAATCAGTTACACACGAATACTTCTACCAGTTCCTGATGGATCCGATTTCAGGATGAATGTACATCGGATGAAAAAGAGTCAGAATACAAAATGAGAGGGTTTATTTCGAATTAAAACTTAGGAAATGCCAATTATTGATGACAGTTTGGGGAATTTAGGGTCGATGACAGTTTGGGGAATTTAGGGTCTTGGGGCCAAACCTAGTACCCAAACTTGTCAAAGATAGAACTGGTAAACGCTTCTAGGGTTAAGATTGCCATTGGACTCTTATAATACAAAAATGTACAGAACTAGAATGCAAAACATTTATCTAATAATTTCAGAATTTGAAAACGGTTTATGAAACAAAACAGTTTTTATTTAAGAGGTAGTTTTCATTAACCCTTCTAAAATGTAATAAAATACTTGTATAACCTTCCTTAAGCCTTGAAAATCTCTACTGAACCTTTTGAGATAAAAAGTAAAGTTCGTCATTTTAAGGCAATAATCCCATGAATGATAATTTTATAGTGAAAAATAAATTATGATGTTACACGGAAATCTTTTTTGAGCCTATAAAACTATACCACATTCTTTTTTGTTCATCGGGCGAAATCAAGTTCCAGAAACTTGCTTCAGAACAACTGACTGAATCAATATCCATCTTCGAAACAAAACTGCTTAGTCTGAATAAAAATTATAATCTTTTTCTTGAAGGTTGCTTGTGCAAATAGGTATTAGTCATATAGGTGTTTAGACCAGACATATCACCAGCTTCTTTCATCCGTTTCATCCGTAAGCATAGCAGAATGCACATGATAGTAGAAAGCAACAGGCAGGCCAGAAATGCTGTGGTAACTGCTGTCAAAGCTAGTACTGGTAAACACATGGTACTGCTAGGTGTTTCATCTAAAAAATCAAAAACAGAAGCTGTAAATGATATAAGATTACGGTAAAATAAGTTATACATTTTTGGAATAATGGAATATAATGAATTCTGCATTAACAGAATATAATTAAAATTATTATAATAGAATTTAGTTTATTGCATAATTGGAATAATATGTATCCCGCAATGATAGGTTAAAGAATTTAAGATCTTGAAGGCCCATAAATTTATTTTTAAACATATCATGACAATTATGTTACGTTATAGAAAAGTTAAATTTTTAATGTTAACTTCACTTTATCTCTTCTTTGTCTCAGTCACAATAATTTTTCTACTTTTTGCAAATCACAATTATGCAAAAGTAAGCTAATATTGCGGTTCCTTAGCGCGGTTTTTTCTGTATTTTACGATTCTTTTTCCGACTTGCGCTGAATACTAGTGAGATGATTTACTGGGTAAAAGCTCCATTGGTATTTGGACGTTGTTCCTGTGTCATTAGTCCAACGTGAGTCTGAGATAATGTTTTTAAGAATAAATAGAAGCTTAACAGATAGGCATGAATTAGCTTATTTAGATAATGGGAAAGCGTTACACGGGCTGAACGTCTTTGTGGAGGATATTTTTAAGGTGACATTCTTACTCACATTACGCGTGGGCAAAACCATGAAAACTCGCCTGCAGTAAACCCGTCTGCTGATATTTGAACCCATATCAAACTAACAGCGCTCAGGGGTCTTAAAGCTCTACCACTCATCGGAGTTAAAGAGAAAGCAGAAATTTAGGTGTGCAGTTCATTGAGAGTTGACATTGTGCATTGGTAGAGTGTATTTGCATAGAAACTTAGAAAAACTTTCAAGCTTTACGTTTTACATTACTTGAAATTCAGTCACAAGCTGTATTTCCAAAAAATATCTAGTTGCTATTTTTTAGCTTTTCGTAAGTTTTTTTTTTATTATATTTCAAGCTATAGCTCACCTGGAGACTTAGAGAACTAAGAAAGATTGTTAGACTCTAGACATGTATTGCAATATTCAGGTCTTATTTATTATGCAGTAATAAATACCTTACCTTTGGGTGAGATAGAACAGTTTATGTTCAGAAACAAATACTCATAGCTGCAAAATGCTTGCTGATAAAACAGTTGATGAAATACTCGTACATAAATGATAGCTTAAATCATCAGTGTTAACTCGTCTTTTCTTCGACAGCTTCAAATACTTTGTCATATGATAAGCTGTATTTATTTATTTTTTACGAATGAAATTACATTATCAAATAAAGCCGCAACGAAAGCTTTAGTAACGATTATATACCACAAAATAGTAATTTGTGGGATTTTGCTAAAAGATGCAGTTGGTGAAAAATGGTAAATTTCTTCACAGTTTTGGAAACATAAACTTTGAGAATTGACAAGAAATCGCACTTGAAGAGGATAAACCATTTATAAATAGGAAAATTTTACTTTTTTAGCATAGGAAATTAGGAAATGCATGTCAAAAATTAAAGAGAGTACATTACATATTTGAGATCTAACAAAATATGCTATTTAATGCTAGAATGTTACGAGTTTGGGCGAAGAAACTTGAAATTTTACAAAATTCTTTGAAAGCCTATAATTATCCCTTTTAATGTATTGTTTCAGAGGCATCTTCTGCGCGCGGCTAAAAACATGAATTAGGTACATACAGTTATAAATAAAAATTCATAAGGGCATTGCTTTTTAAATGTCCTCTTATGTCAAAAGAAGTGATACTGAGGCTTTGCTAAACTTCATTTTTAGTTTCTAAACCACGACTAATAATTACTCATATTCATTTTTCAATTACATTCATAACACTATTAATTATTATTATTATTTAATAATTTTAATCTGACAGTATTTTAGTTACTAAGAGAGCTGAAATAAAAAAATAATTTCAGTCGATTGAGTCAGAATGCACATTAGACGATTTCAAGTGTTTGTTTTCACTATTTGTTAAAGAGAATTCTGCATTTAGCACTAGATATACGAAAGATATGTTTCTATCCCTTTTTTATTTAGGTTACGTTTCAGAATTTTAAGATTATTGTCACATACCAGTTTTTGTACTGCCTGCCGCTAATGTATCTGACGATTCCTGTAGTACTTGTAAAGCTTGGAATAAGCTGACATTTTCCGACGTTAAAGAAGAATTGTCAGCTTCAAAATGGAGATCGGCAGATCGTTTTGTCAAGCTTTTCCAGTGACACCTCTGAGCCTAAGAAACAGAGAATTCCATAAAACAAAAATTAATACCAAATATTATATTAGTCAGTACCAAAATTTTCTTCAAAATTCCCTTGGGTTTAAATAATGTAATTCAAAAAATTGTGAAATATTTAATCAAAATCAATGTTCATGACATCTGGCATTTGTTTTGGTACATCTTTCAATTTTTAGGTTAATTTAATTATTACGAATATAAATTGTTTTTTTAAATTTTATCCTCTGATCGAAGTCTTTTGTTTTATTTCAGTTGAATATCAAAACATTATAAAAGCTGGATTAAAAAAAGGGAGCTTTCAAGTGAAGATCGAATTGCGGTTGTACAGTTCTTGATGCATCGAAAGAAAAACAAAAGTTGGAAAACAATTCAATGACCATATGAAGAATGTGAAAAGGCGCTTCCGAAAATAATTAATAAGACGAATCTTATGCTTATGTTGATTCTTTGAAGAAACAAAATTGCTGACAATGCAAAGATTATGGAGGAAACCTTGAAAAACGTAGTCATATTTCTATTAGCAGAAGAGGTACCATAGAAGCAGTAAATATAGCCTTTGATAATATTTCTCCCGATATACTAGATAACACCTTTCTATCACTTCTACAAGTTAAGCTGAAAGCAAATGAAGAACGAAGGTTCCCAATAATTTAGCTCACTCATACAGGGAAAGCAGAGCTTCGCAGCCAAGGAATCCTACCTACAAGTTTAAAACGCAGTAAAGAAATTTAAAAATCCAAGAAATTTTCTGAACACTCATATAAAAAATTAAGAGCAATATTTTTAATTTTTTAATTTAATATAGTTTTTTGATAATAAACGTTGCGTTCTACACTTATTTCCTTTTGATAATATTATTACACGACAAATTAAATTTATCAACCACTATTATTATAATTAGATAGAGGGAAATACATCATATTAAATATTTAGCGGAAAGGAAAATCATAGCTTCTTTATTATCTGAGTAATTCTGTTATAGAAAATACATAGTACTTTTTTATAGCTTTTAGAAAACTATAGAACTTAATTTCAATGCAAATAGTATATTATTTCCTTTACAATATAATTGTAAATTACTTCATACTCTATTAATTTATAGCTGCTTGTGGTATATCTGAAAAAACTTGCAATATTAGTTTTATTGTCTGCCTTTGAGCATGCTATGTACAATTTCATGTAAGTCTACTATTGAACTTTCTTTAGTGACAGTAACTCAAATTGAAACAAACTCAGGATTCAAACAAAGGTAAAATCCTAGTATACGGTGCAGCCTTGGCGCGACTTTGAAAATTATCGCCAACACCAAAAATGATCCAAAGAACATCTATATATATATATCTATATACTATAGTACTATGTGTGTATATACATAGCATATATATATTATATACAATAGTACATACTATGTTTAACTATATATTTTCTTTGAATGACCCGTTAACTACTCATCGCAATGTCCGGTTTTTACTGCTCATCATAAAGTCGCCAAAAGTTGCCAAATCCCGTGTGCACCGGATACTAGGATTAAACCCAAACAAAAACTCCAAATTAATCTCAAGTACAATTAAAATAATTTGATGCCGCTTACAAGTAAACAGAAATTTTTAGAGCAAAAATAAAATGTGATTTGTGCAACTTCAAATCTTTATACCCAGAGAAAGATTACATCCATGTGATTTTTAAATAGTGAGTTTAAATATTAAAATATAATTTCTGTTTACTAAAAGGTCAGAGACTTACGGTAGGGAATAAAATTCCGAAAATATTAATTAAAATAAACAATTATAAGCTAAATCTTCTTTAGAATAGTGAACCGAATCAGTGGTTTTCATGTTATTTCGATCAGTCAGTCATTCTAGCAATGTTTAAAAATATTTTTAACTATTTTCTAATTTGATTGTGTATAAAATTCAGAGAAAACGTGAATTCAATATAGTAGCTGCATTGTAAAATAAATGAAATTTTTTTTTCCGAAAATGATGTGCGCAGAATTTAGGGAAAATAAGAAAGCTTGAGCTACCTGTTAAGAAAATCAAATTAAGCTATTTAGTTAAATAAGTAAAAATTTTAAATTATAAATCCATTAAATTAAAAAGTTTTTCCCTTAAGAATATTTCAAATAAAGTCCAAATTTATATGATACAAAGAAACACATACTTTCACAATTACGTAAATTTTAATATAAAGGCCATAAATCATTTTAACTTTTAAATGCACTAAAGAGTATTGTACTCACGGGACACGTTCCATGGCACATGTGGACATCACATTCCAAATACAATGCAGGACTGCTTGTGAATCTGAATGCCTTAAAATAAGCGTAAAGAGCAATATGATTTGTTCCTCCTCCACTACGGATGCCTCGAAAAGGACTCATCAGCTGCTCTTTCAAAATGCATCTAAAAACAAAGGCGGTACTGATTATATGCATATAAGATAAGTACTACAGCACAAATCTAGAATAAATGAAAAGAAAAAGAAATTCTTCTTGGTATAAACACTGCATTACAAAGAGTTGGGTATATAAAACAATAGAAGCATAAGTAATATGTCAAAAGAGAGCATACATAAGACGAGAGAGAGATAAATTAATATAGGATGAAAAATGAAAAAACGAATATATAATATTAATACAAAAGAACAATTAAGAAGGTGTAATGTTCTATTATGCTAATCTAACCAGTTGTTATGATTTAAACTTTTACAGTCACTTCTTCTTTCCGTTTCCCTACCAGAATGCAAATCTGATTAAAAGTATTTATAGTGAGGTTTTTCGTTTGTAAGAGCGTGTTTCTGAGACCCCGTTACTATTTTTCGTTAACTCTGATAAGATTATAATTTTTTGCCTTTTCATTATAGTTACCGATATTTGAATTGCTAAGCCGATGAGAAGTTTGAGCCTACTTCACATTGAAACAATTGTATTGCCTTTGGCTACTAAGTTTTAAATTCTTAAAATTGACTGTTAATTGAAGTTGCATCGCCACAAGTGGTTGGATGATTTTCTCAAGCACAATGTATATTTATGTTACAGTTCTGATTCAATAAAAAGGTTATTTTAAAATATTTACAAGATTCTGGAATTCTTTCCAGACGAAAAGATAATTCGCACGAAATCTGGTAGGAGTTCGGACTTAGTTTATGCCATCAAACTCTGTCAAGGGGAAAAGAAGACTTCAAATATAATAATTATTTTTTCTTAATTTGTTTCGAACATTTCCCTTAGAAGCACGTTTTAATTTGTCATTCACCTAATGTTATCTCAGACACTGATTCTAGTTTAATATTCCTTTTTTCCCTTATGGTAGTTCGGTCCGAGGTTCGAATCCCGCGAACGGGCTGGCTGCATGGGCGTTTTCGTGGTTTTCCCCATGTGTAACGTGTATACGAGCCAGTTTCTCTTAGAAAGTCCTCCACGAAAGGCATCCCTCCCCTTAGGCAGATAGCCCTAGTGTGCTTTGCCATAATTAAATACACCGCACCTTTTTTCCCTTGAATGTTTTTAACATCATACGTGTAATGTAAAATTACGTTCTTGAAATTACTTGGGCTGTTCTTTAAAAAAGGTTATCTTTTTTTTTAGTTTTTTGTAATTGTAAAATAGCTCAGATTTATTCTTTAGAATTTGATGGTATTCGGTCAATTATGGAACTGAATAAAGAGTGCGCTACTTCGCGTATTTGCTTATAAAGTAGATTTAGAAAAATGATTTGAATTAATTATGAATTTTCTCTAATTAAATTCAAAATTAAGAGAAGTGAAAAACTGTTTTATTTTCTTATATATAGTTTTCTATTTATTTTAAATAATGTCAACTTTAATTACGCAAATTAATTTTTATAATGTTTTTGAAAATAGGAATGTTACTACTTTTTAATTGATTAAGCCATCGAATTAATGATGCTTCGAAGCCAAATTTGAGATATTATCACGATTTCAGTTTTACTAATAATTAGTTTTATGTGTCTTGCCTCATTGCGATAATCATTCAGACCAGAGGCTTATGCAAATTGCCTGAAAAGATTTATATTTTAACATGTGATCTTAATAGGGAGCTCAGTGGAATGGTCTAGAAGTACTACAGTTCAGATGCAAAAGTCGCTCGTAGAGTAGGAATTTAGAACTACTGGAGGTGGAGATCGGTTAATGTTAAAAAGCTAGACAGTTCCCGTTCCGACCCGAAATGTGTTGTAAACCTGAGTAGGCTTTTGCTTCTGTGACCACGTCTTAACGTTAGCATGCTATTTACTAGCTGTTGCTGTCTGTCGACAGGAAGTTGTATAGTATAGATTTTCCTAATTACAGTTACATTACCATAATGTTGTAACTAAATTTTTGTATTTGGTTTTACTTTGAGTTTTATCATATGTATTAATTGCTAAGCAGTAACAGAGGCGATAATTCCGCAATTATTGAATTATTTCACCGTTAGGTCTGAAAATGCGTTAAGTCCAAGCTATTTTAACATCTTAGAAGTTACAACGTAATTAATAATGCTTTAATGGTAAAAGTAACAGTAGTGTTTAAAGACGTTTTTGGTATAAGAACAGGCTTTAAGAAAAGCAGCTTCTGATAAAAATGTCTTTTTCATAACCATTATTTATGTCAAGTTATATCTATATTTTTATTAGGTATATTTGTTTAATGATTTTGATATTTAATAAAAAGAGATTTGTATAAAAATGCTTTAAAATTTAAATAATGAGCTGAATCAATTCTTTATATCAAATCAAAAATAATTAACCGAATATTTTTTAAACTGTGCAGTTTGGCATACATAAGTATATTTTTAAAATGCTATAATTTGCAACACTTCAAGCGAAACAGCAAAATATGAAGGAAACTGATATCCAGTATTAATAAATTACAAAAAGAGTGAGTTAACATTTGGAGAAAGAAAACTAGATTTCATTCTTTCAAATGCAACTTCTAGAGCTGCATATGATACTCTGTGGAGGTGGAAAATATGTGGATGTATACTATTTTGGCATGGAGTTTTGGAAATTAGTAAAAGTGATAGGATAAGCTGCTATCCAGGTTATCAGGATTAGTATTCCTCTTTACTTGCTTTGGAAACATTAACTGTCCTGACTCGGAACAGGGAGCTTACTCAAGCTATGTTCGATAAATTGTGAAGTAGACAATACACACAGGAAGGGTATACGAAACCCTTTATTTCTCTATCTTTACAGAGCTTTCCGGAACTTCGAAATACAGAGACCAACCACTTGTGGTCTGAACGTAAGAATATAAAAATACTAACTAAAACTCTAACTAAACTAACTTTGGATTAATATACAAGTGCCTACTTTAAGATTGGCCGTAAATTAACAAAAAGCCGTATGTAGTACAGAGAGCTGCTAAAACTACGATACGTTTAAAATTATCAAGAGGATTAAACCTCTGGTCTTGAAGACAACCAGCAACCGAGTAAACTACTATGGCAAGCGGCCTGCTTCTAATAACTCCTTCCTCTCTCTTGTTTGGCAAAAAGCCACAACTTAAGTACTTGGCGTTAGCAAGACAAATTTGCATAAATAAGTTAAAAGCTTTTAATTCTGGCCGGAAGTAGAAAATAAGAAGTGATAGTAAAGATTTAAAATAAAAATAAACGTTAGTAAAACTTAGGATCCTTACAAGGTAACAACTCAAAACGGTTTAACTGTATTACAGTTACGATAAATAATGAAGAATATACATGAAAATTTTAAGTCGAGGTAACAAAAGAGAAGAAATTATTTAATTGGAAATGTGGAAAGAGAAATAAAAATAAATATTTATCTTATTGAACGGAATCCAATCTATCTTATTGAATTTATCTTATTGAACGGAATCTAATCTATCTTATTGAATTTATCTTATTGAACAAATTATTTTATATTTACCCATTGGCATCAATTAGCTGTAGTCTTTTCTTAGCTCCATTGTGAGCGAAGCAACTACTTACAGCAACATCAAATTCAGCTGGAAAAAGCAAGCAAAACTCATGAATACTATAAGTTTCTTAATAAACAATGCAATTTTAAAAGTCTTCTGAAACCCTAGTATGTAATGGCTAAGATATTACAAAATTTTAGTTATAGATTCATAAAATTAGAGAATATTAACATTAGAATTGAGCATTTAAAGAACATTTTCAGATAAATTTCGAAGTAATTTAATTGAATTTACTGTTTGATCAATGTCTGCGTTACAGTTCCTTGGAAATTAAATTAAGTGTTAGAAACCTATGGTCTTGCTCTTTCTGATGCTATTTATTCCAGTTTTAAATGACTAATTTTAAAAACAAAATTGGAATAGGGACTTTTAACCAATTGTGGTTAGTGAAATATTTGCTTGTTTAAACTTCAACATTTGAGACTTCGTTGTTAGTTTGAATAGTTTCTACACTAATAATATGCTTTATATTTCACAGGAACATTGCTGCAGTTTAGTAGGAATTTTGATTTAAGTGGAGATTCGAAATGATTTCTGTGGAGGTAGAAAATCAAAAAATTTTTTTGTCCTTTTTTCAGACTTTTCTTATCTTATATAATTCGGTATTAGGAACATGGGCTTGTCATTTAAAGAATTTGGGTTTTATTTCACTGAAACCCTACAACGTAAGACCAATATGAGGAAACAAGGCGCATATAATGATTGCTAACTCGAACATGTTTGAATAATAAGCTTTTCCTGTGCAAGTGCAATTCATCAGGGTTCAGATACATCGCAGCGCTGCACACCTTATATAAGCTGTACATGGTGCATCTGCTAGTCTGCTTGATATTCTGCATACGCCTGCTTGTTGTTGCATTCTTTTAACTTTATACATTCTTCGCTCATCATGCCAGATTGGGAACGTAAGAAACAAAAAAACATAGTATTGTTAATTTGCATTATTAAGTTATAATTTATGCTTTGTTTCTGACTCCAGATATTTCCCATTTTACTCCAATACTGCTTTGGTTTACGCTAGGAACGGTGATGATTGAGGGTGGCATCATAAATGACTGACATAGTGAGCTCAACTGAGCTTAAGTGCTGAACAATGGTACATGATGTGTGACTGCAATGTGAAGATGTTACTGAATGTCACATTGATTTGTTCCTTCGTGTAATTGGCGAAGAACGTTTTCTTATGGAACGCCTCATAGAACTATTAGAAGAGGGGAGAATCTCCTGGAGATTGAGGATATCCTCAACGAACGAATAGCGCCGTTGTTTGGTCGCTTTCAGCTCCATTGAACACGGATCTGTATTACGTGGAGACAAACTGCAAGCTTTGGGGGTCTTTTGTTGGAAAACAAGGTAGGCCTAATCTATATTTTAAAGGAGGAATACAGCAGTCTGCCTTTGGTAATGAGCTTGTCACGGTATTGCGATTACTGCCTCACAGTTCAATGTTAATATAAATCGTACTGAAAGTACAGTTTTGGGCACTGATAAGTATTTTTCATCCAACCTACACGTATTCCCGTTCAGAAAATAGCTTGCCGCATTTGGTTTCGTTCATGTTAAGTTAACTCTACGAATGCAGAATTGTGGTTCTTCATTAAGTTCTGTACATGCGTGTATAAAAAGGGCACCGAGGGAAAAAACTGGAGGATCATTTTGAATATATGTCACAACATATTACCGTTTACGGTATTTTCTTGGAATCAAATATTATAGGCCAGAATGGTTTCTTATTTTTTCTATTAAATAGCTCATTTAACTCCTTTTGAATTCATAAAGGATCGAAATACATTGCATAATTTTTAATTATTAGCAAAGAATATTTTGTTTAAAAGCAAATAAGTTCCTTTTTTTTAAAGTGTTATTTAAAAATAAATCTACATTGAACGATAATAAGAACATTAATTTTATGAACAGAAAATAACTAAAAAAAAGTCTCACTGCTGTCGCTTTCCATGTGAATCATGAGCGTCAGTGGGTCTCCTACAGTGACTGGTCCGGTAAGGCGACTTCCAGATGGTCCAAAACCAGATCGAACTTCCATGTAACACTGGGGTGGAGAAAGAGTTACTAAATACGGGCTTGCTGTATTTTTCCTGAAAGAAGAATATCATTCGAATTTATATATATATTCCAGAGATCTTCATGACAAAGTTATAATAATAGTAATAATAATAATCATAAATACAGTTTTTGTAGACTAAAAGCTTGATACTTATAGCATCCAGATGAAAAATCTCCAAAATAATCAAACTAAATCTATCAAAATATTTATTATATACATTGCTCGTTTGTAGCCCCTCAAATGAAACTCAAAGCTTCTTTTTGGTCGTTCTATGCATGTATCAGCAAGTGGCTATCGATGGACTTTGCGATGTTTTTGACTTCCTAGAATGAGGTTACATGCGTTTTCTGATCATTGGAAAGCAACATGAAAGGCAATATCCAGCAATAAAAGTACCATTTCTGGGTTAAAAAACTGAAGAATGGAGAGAGGCTGTTGCATAATAAATTTCATGGCCTGTTACAATTTCATGTTGCTGGACACAAGAGGGCGTATCTTTTTTATGTTATGATATAATATTTTATTACCGTTCTGCGGTATATTTGATTGAGATGTAGTGGTAAGCTCTTCTGTAAGAAAACAAATTGTAAATAGCTGTAAATGAAGTTTTCTATGTTATAAAATGGAAAAAATTCTAAGTATCCTGTGGATTTCGTCAAGGAAAGGTAAGCAGAAAGATTTTCTCATCAAATATTGTTAAATGTTGAAGGTAAAAATAAGAAAATACAAATTAGAAACACAGACAATAATTCAAATAATTCAGCCCTCAAAATGCAATGAGCTTTAAATATTCATCATATTTAAAGCCCAGCATATTTTATACTTAAGGAATAATTCTAAAAACATTTTCTAATCCATAGGTCAAGGTCCTATAACCACAGTATTACACCGTTTTGAACTTTATAAAAACGCAGCCGACGCTTTTCTATTAGAAAAAAATTTAAATATTAAAAATTTATAAAATTTATTTCCTTTTTGCTAGATGCAGGTTTTTAATCTAAAGGAAAAAAGTTAAGTGTATCTCATACAATAAATATTAAAAATATTACTGAAGATGATTTATGCAAACCTAGGTTCAAAGTTAGTTATTTTTCAGCTGCTATTTTAATTGTGATTCTCTTTTAAAATCCGTCAGATTTGTAATTAATTAAGAGGGTAAAATATATGAGCATTCAAGTAATATAATGTAGAATTCTAAATACTCTTATCAAAGTAATTTGTTTTAAGTTTTTGCACATTAAGAAACCTATTTTGTAATCAATACTAAAAATGAAATAGAAAAGATAAGAAAATAGTGCATCAATTTTTCAAAAATTGTGGGATGCATTTTTGTTAATAATTTGTAAGCATTTAGATAATATAAACGACATAGCAACTTACTCTACTCCAACCACTGGGAATGTGACAGTTCTTCGAAACTCATAACCGTACTCACAGGTGACTTGAAAATGCTCATCCCAGTCTTCTTCGATATCTGGATTATACTGCACGGTAATTGTGTTCCACATAAAATGATTTCTATCCTATTAACGGGAAACCTTATAAGTCTTATAAAGATTAGCGCATTTCATTTTTGAACTAATAGACATTTTTCAAAATTAAAAAAAAAATTGTAGAAAGAGAAGTATGTGAATAGGAACTTTAAAATAATGAACTTTAAAATTAAGTAAAATACACCTTCGAATTTGCGTTAGTTTGACAGGGATTTGTGCCAGACACTTTCAAACTGTATAGAATAATATAGCACGGTCTCTAAAAAGGAAAATTATATACTCCTGGAATAACAAATCGAGAGCTAAAATAATTTTGTAACATGAGAAATTTCCGTAAAACGTAATACTAACAAACGAGCATTACCTGTTTCAGGAGAAAATTCATTTCCCAACGACTTTTAAGACGAATTGATTATTAAATCCGTATAACTTTGCTTATATTGAAATCACATATGAAATATGTAAGTTTTTTTTGCTTAGTTGAACAAGTCAAAGCACACGAAGACTATCTGCCCAAGATAAAGCATACTTTCGCGAATAACTTTTTAAAAATTTGATTTGGGGAATCACGAAAGCAGCCATACAGCTAGTCTATTCCCTGGAAACTCGAAATTCATTCGAATTACTTGTGTTCAGTGATCAGATCCATTTTGCCACTTGGGAGCTTTGAAATCTTTAAAGAGTAAATGATATGAACACAGTCCAGTTCAATTAATTTAATGAAATGAATCTTCTTTTTGCTTCCTTGTACTAAGGAAATGCTGCAATCACGAAACATCACATTTCAAGAAAAATATTCATTTTGACTATTTCCGAATAGATTCAGAGGATTTTTTGCATGACGACTGTACGTACATTGACTGTATATAATAAGGAATTCTTTTTTCCAAAACTGAATGTAAAACGGATTTAAAATAAACTCAAAAAGAACATTTTTCGTGATGCATGTAAGTACGTATGTATAGACGTATCTCGCATAACTCAAAAACGATTAGCCGTAGAACGTTGAAATTTGGTATAGGAGGCTGGTATAAAATCTAATTGTGCATCTCCCTTCCCGATCAACAGTACCAAACGTGTATATATGTACAACCACCGCCTTGTTTTTGAAATCAATGGTCGTAGTCATAGAAGTATTTTAAACAACGAAAATAGTCATGTTTTTGCAGCGTAAAATTAAAATATAATCTAACTTTTACTGCAGTCTCACGGTTCCAATACTTATATTTGGGAAAGTTTTATATTCGCTATAGAAAAAATTAAATTATAAGCAATTTGACTCCCATTCGACAAAAATTGATGGGCATATTTAATTTCAAAATTTGCAGTTTTTGATGTTATTCTTCCTTTACCTTGCGAGACTGGCTAATTAAGTTAAAATAATTCAAGGAAATAAGTTTAAATGAAGAAGCAAAAAATGTTTGTAAATTAATATGTGGTAGGAGGAAGTTTTGTGATGTTCATGTAATATATCTTAAATTTATGCTGCTATAATTTACTCTTTAATGCGATAATTTGCCATTTAATGGGCTGTTTTGAAAATAAAATGGAAACCGTTTTAGAATAAAGGAAAAAATAACTTTATCCTTAAAGTCCTTACATTTTTAATTATTATATTTAGAACACTGGTTGTTATTAATTTTAGCAAGCCCTCGTTGCAAAGTTTACTTAAAATGCCTTTTCTTTATTTGTCTATTATTTCAAGACAAATTATGTTTAAATTTATTACATAGGACAGAAGAATAACAAAGGATGATTTCCTTTCCATATGAGTACATTTGTTTTCACTTAATAAAACTTGCTAAAAAATGAGTTCTTTTCCAACCAAACATTCGACGCTTTTCACTGAAATATATTTAAATAATTTATTGATTAAAAACAAATTTTTATAAAGTTGATTTAATAATTGGAGATGATGTAAATGTTGTGGACAAGTACTGCACCGGTGGTCAAAGAGATATGGTCTACACTGTACATTACTGTACACAACTATACTAAAGAAATGGACTGTGAGAAGATGGGATTTATTAATTGTTATGTAATTAATTATCTCTATAAAACTATTTGTTACAGAGTATTTTTTGGATTTGAAGATGATATCGAGGATTTTAGAAAATGCTTCGGACTTGAGCAAAACCTGGATTGATTAAAACTGAGAAATGTTTTAAATAAATAAATATTCATTAAAAATATCCTGTTAGATGCTCGATTAAAACTTTTATATGAAGTGTTTCGATCAGTAGGAAAAATAATCAAGAAAACAGAAAGCAAAACCTGAAGTTTCTCATTGAAAGAATGCACATGTACACAGTGCATTGGTTACATAGAATAGAATTAAATATTTCGAATTGTAGTAATTTATCAAAAAGGAGAAATTATTATGCTGCAGTAATTGAAAATATAACTCTCAGGTTCCGTTTATTGAAACCAAATTAAATTTTGTACTTTGGTACAACATATTCTTCAAAATAAAATCTGCATTAGATATTTATAAGATATAAATTTATAAAAATGTAAAATTTTAAACTGCAGTCTTTAAACAACATAATGCATTGATTCAATAGTAATTGCTCCTTACTGGTACTTCATTGGAAGACGGTTCAAACTCAGGTCTCCCAAGGGTGCCACATCTGTTCAAACGGATAGAAAACTCATAACGATCATGTCCAGAACCATTAATATATACACAATCATTGTCGTGTGCATAGCCTGTGCTGTATACTAGACCGTCGAAAGAACCGTTGAATTGAACAGTTATTTTCATATAATTACTGAAGCAGTCTGCAGTTACATCTGTAAAGAAAACAACAAAAGAATACTTTATTAGCACAGTTATAATAATGAACATAAGATGATCCTAATGAATTTTCTAAGCTTGACTTGGTTTCAGGTGAATCAGAAAGTATTGCATAAAAGAGCTTAATAATTTTGGTATCAATATTTTGACCTGGTAATTTAAAAAATGGAATAAAGTTTGTTTTAGATAAATGCAAATTCTGTTAAGTAGGATTTTACACAGTAAAGAGAAGTTCCTACCTAGAATTACTAGGGAGGTGAATTCATTTTCCACTTACTTGCTCAAGTTCTTCAGTGTTTTTCTAGTAAATTATAATCACGACAATTGCATTACATCAGCTTTTGAAAAAATCAGATATAAAAAGAGAAACTTTTCAGTTTGTACCCTTTCTAGTTATTTTTCTAGTCTACGTGTCTCTGTCTATTCTTTTTATTCAAGTCCGTAAGAAAAAAAGTAGCGGTTCCGTTTTGAATTTATTTTCTGACAGTTAACCAAAAATGTGTTTTGCATTAATTGCTATTTGCACAATTAAATCGATTCAAGCAGGAAAAAAAATAAAAGAAATTCTGCATTTATACCAACGAAGATCGTCATAAATTTGAAAGTATTCGCTTTAGATTGTTTTTTAACACACCACCTCTGAATTTTGCGACTTATGTTTAAGTTGAACAGTGCTTTCTGTCTTCAAACAGTTATAATGCTTCTTTGTTCCTTTTTGTGGTAGATATGTAAATTTATTTCTCACTTTCTTAAATAAGTAGGGTCTTATATTAATTAATCAGGTATCTTATTATATTGTTATCTAATATATCTATGCTTTCATTTCTACTTCAATTCAATTTCCACCGGGATGCAAATTAGCTAATGTATACGCAGAGTTCTTGAGTTTCAGAAGAGAGCAAATGACAACTATCTCTAACCGGTTACTTTGCGACAACGTTTTGCTAATGATTTGGTTTGCTTAAAATCGGCTTTAGTTGATGCTTCATGAAAGAAGCAATTGCTTGCACTGGTCTGAAGAGTAAATGAAAAATTTATTTTAAACTTTCATTTCAGCTTGTATTAGTCTACTTTAAAAGTTACGGCGGGATAATAAGTCGTCTTTACGGTTCTAGGAATTTAGATTTAAACTAATGTGGAAAGTTACAAAGATGCCATTGATCTTTCTATAGTAACAATACACTTTTTCACTGGAATTGGCTTATTGCAAATTTAATTATTGTGTAAAGTAAATATACACATAAGAACATTCATTTCAGCTTGGATTAGTCTACTTTAAAAGTTACAGCGGTATAATAAGTCGTCTTATTGTCTTTACGGTTCTAGGAGTTTAGAGTTAAACTAATGTGGAATGTTACAAAGATGCCATTGATCTTTCTATAGTAACAATCCACTTTTTCACTGGAATTGGCTTATTGCAAATTTAATTATTGTGTAAAGTAAATACACACATAAGAAGATTCATTTCAGCTTGTATTAGTCTACTTTAAAAGTTACGGCGGGAAAATAAGTCGTCTTATTGTCTTTACGGTTCTAGGAGTTTAGAGTTAAACTAATGTGGAAAGTTACAAAGATGCCATTGATCTTTCTATAGTAACAATCCACTTTCTCACTGGAATTGGCTTATTGCAAATTTAATTATTGTGTAAAGTAAATACACCCATAAGAAAACATCTGGGCATTCGACACGACCCATGCATTTGTGTACAGGAGAATGAAGTAGTCCTTTATCTTGTTTTATAAGAGAAGAACGTTTATTTATTCTTGAAGCTCTTTTCAATAAACGACGTGCGACTGAAATTTAGCAAATTTATATTACTATCTATAGCAGTCAGTTTCCATTTCAATAGTAAGACTACTGAAAAATTTAGACAGGCAGGTTCAGTTAACAACGAGGTGTCATAAAAATCACTATCAAGGTTGACTGCAAGTGTAGTGAGCAATATCAGCTACCGATTGACTGCAAAATCAATAACGTGTATTTTATTACAAAGACTTTTGTTTAGGTTCTAATGTTCTATACTTACATTCTACTCTAGGTACTTCTCTTTCATGTTGAAATCCTAAAACTACTGGAGCTGATTGTTCTATGACTGTGGCTGGGGGAACATATCCAGCACCCGGTACTGGAGGAAAAGGTTGTTTAGGAGTTTCAACGAGCTCGTTCTCATTGGGATCAGCAGCGTGACTCTCTACAGATGCTGGATAGTAGGCATCTCCTGGTTTCAGAGGGCTGGTTTCGCGTTCCCTTTGGTGTTCATTACTGCTAAATTTTTCCGATTCTGAAAGCATGAAATAATATTATTTATAAATTAGAACACGAAAAAAGTTTTTGTAGTAAATGTTTTCGCCAACAATATAAGAAGGTCAAAAGTTTGTATTACAGATAAGATATTTTTCTCGAAATAATATAAAATTCAACTTTTGATTTAAATGTACTCCGGCTGAATTAAGAAATTATAAACGTTTAGAACACTGTAAACGTGTAATTTAAATCTTTAAGATCTCCGTTAAAATTAATTTGAGACATATTTAGGAGCATAAAATAATATTCCAATAATTACATCGAAGTACTTAGTAGCTAATATATGCTTCGTAATTTAAAGTAATTTCAAAGAAGAGTATTCTGTTCCTAGGAAAAGAGTGATTTAAGTACTTTTAAGAGAGTTATGCAATATAAACCATTTCCTTATAGAACAAAGACATGCGGAAATTTAAAGAGTCTGTTAAAAATGAAATATTAGTGATAATTTTTCAATGATTTTGAGTACTTTTATATGATTATTACTTTAATTTTTTCTTATATTGCGTACAAGTATGAGAAAGTAAAATCAGGTTTTGTAAGACGATAAATAAGAAATATATTTTAGACGAGCTATTACATTTGAGTCAGAAAAGGTTTGGTTTGCTTTAGTTAAAGTAGAAAGCACATCGGCCTAAGGAGAGGGATGCCTTCGTGAAGGACTTTCTAAGGAAAACTTGCTCGTATACAAGTTTCACATGGGAAAAACTATGAAAACGCTGGAATCGAACCCAGGTCGAAATTTCCAGGATTCAGCGATTTTACTGCTCGGCGCTAGTGGGCTGAGTCTTAAAAGAATAATTCTTCATTTAAAAATATTCTGCTTATCCATAAAATATGACATGCAGTTTAATAATAATTTTAAATAGAAAACAAAAAATACTTTGCAAAAATTATATAATTTCAGAAAAATATTTTCTTCTAAGTTCAGGTTCACTTTTGAGCTATCTTATTGTATGATTATCTTAAACTATATCATATTTTGTATTCAAATCTACTGCATTTTGCTGCAGTAAAACGTAATCATTTTCTCGTATTTATTGCGAAAAATCTGATACTTATTTAGCTAGTAAACATAATTTGAAATATAATTACTAACAAAATGAAATTTGCTCTTATTCAATTCATTTGGAAGTGACGATAGCTTTTTCCAGAAGTGGGAATTACTACCAGGACTTGTGTACATTTATATATATTCCAAAACAACAGGAAAATTCAGACAAGATTATTTTTTAGTATTTAATTTTAATCTCCTTCTTTTCAAAAGCTAATGTTTAAGTGGAGCTAGATATACTTAGATTAATGAAGAAATAGATTTTAGCAAAAAAATTAATAATAGATAGTAATAGCAGATTAGCAGATTTTCGGGATAATTATCCACAGTATTGAATTTCAGCTAGAGGTCATTAAAACATTTGAAAGACATCAGAGCTGGAAAATATTTTATAATCGAAATTATAAGAAACTAAAACCTTATTTTTTGTTAAAACTATTATTTCATTCAAATGAAATGATGAACGAATTTAAAAAATTTTTGTCTCCGCCAAAAATTTTAAAAGTTATATAAAGCGTAACAATTTGATTTTCTGAAGAGATTGGCTAAATTCTTAGTTAAGTTGAAGCTTACTTAATTATACTTCAAAAAGAAGGTATGAAAAGTGTTTTTTCAGGTACCAACTTTTAGCAGAAAAACTTTTACTTTTGGCGTTTGAAATGTGCTATTGAAAACTGATTGATTCGTTTTGATAATGAGGAATATTTACATCTTATATAACATGTACCTTCCAGAAATTGAAGTAAAAATTTATAGAGTTTGGCTGGCAATGTCAAAGCGTTTGGTCACGATTATCTAAGGACTGATCACCTTGAAACTATTGATCATTGTTGATCTAAAGGACGGGGATCATTTGGGGTCAGCTGGTGCTGAGAAATAAAATAAAATTAGATATATTTTTAAATTAAAATTAAATTTTAAAGCATCCATGTTCCTCTATGCTGTTGGTCAACAGTCACTTATAAATTGATGGACACTGTCATCATAAGTCAACAGCACTCTTTGACGTAGTAAGTTTAGGTTTTAAAATTAAAATTGAATAGAAGTTCAACAGTGTCTGTGCTGGTTGTTAATAACTAGCAACCTACAAGTTGATTGTTTCTGTTTTTATGATTTGCACGGGTTGATTGTCACTTTCACACAGAGCAACCACCGCTATAAGGGGTGCAATAAATATATACATTTTAAGTAAGTTGAAACTAAAGAATACCAATGCTCTTGAAGTCTCTTGGTCAGCAGTAATCCAGAAATTGAAGACCAGTGGAGGTCAAACCACAAGTAATCAATATGAGGCAATGGAGTAAATTTAGATATATTTTTTAAAATTAAATTAAACAGATTAATTAATTTATCCGCATGACCATCGCGACCATCCAAGTAATTGGTTCAGAAATTGTTGGCCACTGGAGTTCAAGCCGTAAATAATTAGTACGTATGAGGCAGTGAAGTAAATCTAGATACATTTTAAAAATAAAATTAAACAGAAGGAAACGGTGCCCATCAAAGTAATTGATTACTTATGACCTATGCTTATTGACCAACACGCAAGATTATTGGTGTGATGCAATGCAGTAAACTTAGATAAATTGTTAAAAAGCCGAAGAACACCGGCGACCATCGAACCTGGCCGCCAGTGATCGGTGAGATATTAAGTGAGCTCTCGCAAGTTTTCGATCTGCTGTTAACAACAGATGCAGCAAAAGGAAGCATGTTTTAATCTAATTATTCCTTACTTTTTTCGCCATCTAAGAGGTGATAAGGGAAAGGTATGGGATCAGTTCGATGAAAACCAGGTAGTGACTATGTACTTACTGTCCAGCATATGTTTAGTTCCGCCTCCCCTGTAGAGGTTAATCATTAAATTAACCATCAGGCTCGAATATGCTAGAAATGAACTATACTTTTACCGAGATTCGAATAATGGATCTTTAAAATATTATACAATAACAAAAGGGAAGACAAACTTATCAAATTTTGCACATGTTTGAATTATAAAAATATCATGAAATTAAAGCACTTCTGGGAGACACTTTGTTAGGCATGTCAGAGTTAATTTCCTTATTCTGTTAAAGAATATTAATTCTGTTAATAATTGTGTCTTTTCTTCTTTATAAAAATAATTATTTTTTAAGCATCTAGGAATAGTAATGTCATTGAAAATATACTTGTTTATAATGTATTATACATAACGTGTATTGTTACTTAATTAGTATGTTCTATGTAGAAAACCATCAAGAGAGCGTAAAACTGCCCGCTTTATGCTCTCTTTCATGTACTGATTTACTGTCTATAGATTGTAATTCTTTTAAATTTTAAATCTCCGTCCATTATATGCATTTATTTATGATAATGCATATTTATTGAATGATTAATGTAATTAATCTTAACCATTTATTCATATCCTTGCTTATTTATCTGTAGCTTGAATTCGTGCTATTTCCTTTTTACCAGTTGTAAAGGTACATTCCAATGCAGGAACCAAGAGATTTCTGGACGAAAATCCTCATCTATTAGTGCCACTTCTACATGTTTCTTGAGGTAATAAACCATTACGAAGAAAAATTTAAAGCATTAAGAAAATAAAATATTTTTATTTATTCAATTTGTTTATTTATTTGCATAAAATTTAGTCTTTTTTATGTTATGCTGTTCCTTTTTTGAGATTTAAAAAATGAAAAATTCGAACTTCATCAGAAATATACATATTTTTTTTTAATAAACCGAATGTGGGATGATAAAATTGTGTAAAGCAATGGCACAGTGATGAAACCGGGGGGGGAGCATATGATTGTATATTAAATATAGATAATAAAATTTTCTTATTTATCTATGACTATATGCATTTATTGGATGATTAAGATAATCAATCTTATATATTTATTTACCTTGAATTTGCGCTGTTTCTTTTGTCAGTTGTAAAGATGCTTTTTACTGTAGAAACCAAGATGCTTTTGGGCCATAAACCTCAGCCATTTTTTTAGCGCCTCTCCTACATGTGTGCTCTGGAACCACAAGTAGCTGAGCAGTTACGATCGCTGAGAATTGCCAGTTGGGACTGGCTTTGGCTGCTGGAGGAACCGGCTTCCTTCATGTGCAACGTTATGCTAATGCGGTCCACGTTCTTTGAGGAAATTCACCCAAACTGCATCCCTCTGACGAGAGTGGGAAGATACATTTTTAAAACGAAATAACTATTAAAAATAGAGCTTCGGGATGATTATTGATATATCTGATCCGTTTGGTATCCTTTTTAAGACTTCTTAAGACAGATGACTTTGCAGCCTTGCTTTGGCACGAAAAATCAAGGATTTCACGAGCCAGTGTTTTTATGATGAATTTTATTACATCTGGATTATTTGTTAAAAAATAAAAGCACATCCTTAGGGAACCAGTTGAAAGGTAACATGAAGAAAGAATAAAAAGGAAAATATTTTCCCTTGATCAACTGTGAAATTTGCTTTAATCTGGGTATTCGATATGAGATGATTTTAATCAGTTTGCAGGCGGCCAGTGCAAACTCTGATTAAAAATCCAGTTATAACCATGTGCAGTGCTGATAAGGACCACGTGTTTCTGAGACTCCTTCTCCTTTATTTTCTTCTTTCTAGGTATTTCTTTCTCCTGATGAGGAGACACCTTTAGCTGCCCTCGAAATCGATTGAGTGTTTCATTATACCTACAAGGTTGTTTTTACGATTTTGATTAATTCCCATCTTTTCAAGTTTGGAATGGAAGGAAGTTTTATTATAAGATGAAAATGCACTAATATAAAGTTTAGAATATTTTTTATATGCTGAATAAAACACAAGATTTAGGATATATAGTTTCAGAACATACAAGTAAAAAGCAAAAGCAAAATTTAAACCAAAATAGTAATTTCGTTGAAAATATCCTACATTTTAAACAAATATTTCATATTGTTTATAATAAAATGCCTTAAATGTTGTTTTTCAGTCATGCTTATGAATAGATTATTGATTTGGTCTTGTAAAAGTCTTAGGGATTTCTGAACTTAGTGGAAAGCTTGCCTGTCGTTTTAAATTATAAACAGAGTGTTACAAACAGAGTATTTATCTGGGTCCTAGTTATATTTATTTCTAAAAGTTTGTAAATTATCACTGCTGTTCCTATTTGGCATTACTTAATGTAGATAAGATATAAAATTATATCACATACAACATGCAGAAGTTGTTCCTTCATAGATAAGTTATCTTACCTTTCGTTTCATCTCTATGCTTAGCACCACGTATGATATGATAATTTCCAGATGTAAACTCGTTTTGTTCTGCATGTTCCGTAGCCATCTGCTGTTGTTGAGATTGAGATTTGGATCTCGAAGTATTTCTTTGAAGAACGTTGGTAGATGTATTCCAAGCCGCGAGATATCTCTCAATACTGCTTTTAGAATTATCGTAGTGCGTGGATTCGTGATATAACGTAGGGCGAGAGGTGACAGTGAGCATCGAGTCAGAGGGAGGAGTAACTTGGAAGACGGGTACAGGCGTGGCAGTTGTGGCGTAGCTGTCTTGCACTTTTTGAGAGATGTAGATCCAGAAAAGAAATGTATGCAAAATATTTCGAGGAAATATTTCGCTTTCTGTTCTCATGTTTGACACTGCAAATAAAAAAGTTACATAATTAGTAATTTGCTTACTTGGAAATTCAGTAGTAATTATTTAAAAAAAAGAAGTTTCTTCCAAATCCTTTTTTAAAAGACTAAATATTGATTAAATTTTACAAAATATCTATAGGCTACCATTGCCACAAAATAACTTTACACCAAAACACATGGGATCTCTTGGGAATAGAAAGGTATTTATTTATGCTACCTATAAATTTGCTGTGATTAACATAGAAGTTATATTTGAAAGTTTTCTCAGTTATTAATAAGGATTAAAAAATAAGAAATTCTTATTAAACCAAAATAATGTTAGCATCTGAACTTGTCAGGAGATGTATGTCTCTTCACTTGCTTCGGGAACATAATGTATCCTGAATAAGAACAGGAAACTTACTAAAGTTCTGTTCCAGATTGTGTGGAATAGACGACACAAGCAGGAAGGGTATACTAAAACCTTTATTCTCTATTAACTTTACAGGTACTCCCGTACTTAGGGATACAGAGACCAAACATTGTGGTCTGAACGTAAAAATATAAAACTACTAACTAAAACTCTAACTAAAAGCTAGAATAACTAAACTCTAACTAACTAAAACTCTAACTAAAAGCTTTGAATTAGTATACAAATGCCTAGCACTAAGACTGGCCTTTATTTAAAAGGGTACGTATGTAGTACGCCGAGCTGCGTAAACTACAATACGTTTGTCAAATATCAAGAGGGCAAACCTCTGGCCATAAAGGCAAACAGCAACCGAGTGAAAACTCGCAAGACTTCAGTGGCAAGCGGCTCGCTTCCTAAATTTCCTCTCTCTCTAACTCTTGGCAAAAAGCCACAATCTAAATACTACTTGGGCGTTAGCAAGACAATTTGCATAAACGAGTTAAAGAATTTAATTCTGCCCGGAAGTAGAAAATAAGAAGTGATAGTACAGTTTTAAAATAAAATAAACGTTAGTAAAGCTTAGTATCCTTACAAACTGACCAAGATAAAGTTAGCGTCTGAACATTCGCAACAACTTCAAACTAAGTTCAAGAAAAGAAATAAGGAAATATTTCGATAAATTGAACGATGAGTTATTCTTCACATTCAAGAGAATTTTAGGAGCAATGGTTCATTTTTATCAACAGCACTTTTAAAAACTTGTTAGTGGTTTAGATGATGACACATTCGGATGCTGCTAACATTTTGTTTCAGATCTGACATAGCCTGAAATCTGTGGCAGACTTACAAGCCATAGTTGTTTAATGCAAAGTACTTGAGGTTTATTTTTATATTGTAATGAATAAAAAGCATAAAACTACAATTAGCAATTCTGACATCGAAATCCCAGCCATTACCTAAAAGGTGATTTAAAAGTAATAAAGTCAAAAATCGACGTCACTGTTTCCAGATGTCGGTTGCGTAACTTATTTTCCCTATACTGAACCTTTTAAAAGTGAGGTAAGAAAGTTGAGGAACTGTTTACTCACTTCATATCAGTAAAACTGCGGCGTGTTATTTCATATAAGAATAAATAAAATTTTGTTTTGCGATATTAGTCTTAAATCACCCTGTTCTTATAGGAATCATTCTGGAAATTTACAGCGAGTGCGTGTTCCATTATTTTTAGTATTCCATTATTTTTAATGTGTAGGTGGCAAATGTGCTGTGAGACTGTGGAAAACTCCGTCCAATTTCTTCGACAAGAAGTTAGGATGGTTGCTTGAAGAAACTGGTAAAACACATTAGTATGCTTCTTGAAATTAAAAAAAAAAAAAAATGTGATGAATGAGTGTCCATAAAAGAGTTAGTTTTTTCTCTTGAATGAATAATGGAAATGCATTGTTCACAGGTTCGCAAAAAAGGTTTGCACTTTAGAAGTGCAAGCCTAATGTAATTCTATTCATCTAGGATTGAAAAAGATAGCAACTTTTGCTGCATGCAAAAAGATAGCTGCATTTAGACAATTATAAGCATAAAAATAGTAAAATATTTCAAACTTTACATTTCTGTTCTCCGAGCCTCCAAACTATTGAATTTCAGAATTAAAATACAAATTAGTAATTTGTTAAATGCGTGAGAAATTGAAATCTTAATTTACACGTTGTTCATTAATTGACTTCATTCATTATATTTATGCTTTACGCGAAAAAAGGAGATGTTTTTCAGTCAGTGCATCTCGGTATTCTTAAAGAAACCAAGCAGGTTTAGATTAAAAAGATAAATTTTCTTTCTGTCAGCTGTAGTGTGAAGTAGGAACATTAAAAAGATACATTTTGTCTGTCAGCGAGATAAGTAATTTGGTAATTTTTAATTAAAAATAGGTAATTTGAAAGGCTAACTAGAAATGAAGGAAATTTAATCTTTGGAAAAAGCTCAGAATTTATGATCTTATTATGAAAAAGATGGTTTCTATTCCAGTCATGCTTACTCAATACAAACAAGGCACATCTGATATTACAGTACACTGATTATAAGTTAAACGTGTAATACAAATGCAGTGTACACTGATTAAAATTTAAATATGTAAAGTAAGAGCAGCTGAAAATATATTTCACATCAGCTACATTTAATGAATCAAAGTAAAGCAAAATCAGTTACGAGAAAAATTTGTTTAATGTAACAGAAATATAAAAAAATTAATAACTTAACTACATTACAAATTTAATAAAATATTGAGCAAACGCTTTCGGAAGATCACAGTTGAAGTTATTCCAAAGAGCAACAAAACTTGTCAGACAATTTGTATTTGATGATTAAAATTTTATATTATGTTTTCTCTGGGTTGTCTGTCGAATTCAACAACTAATACTGTTTGACTTCTTTTTGAATGCATAGAATATGTCATTTTTATTTTTCGGTGTAATCATTGTTAATAGAATATTTTAATTGAAAAAATAAAATGAGAATATATTAATTCGCTTACCTTAGACATAGATTTCTCTGATTAAGAAGGTAATATAAATGACTTTTATAAATCTATAATTATTTTCACACCCTAAGAAACGTCACCATTAGGCACTACATAAAAAAAAGGAATGCCCAGTAGAGATCGTTTTAAGGGAAACTGGTTCGTATCAATATTAAACACGGGAAAACCACGGAAACGACCATGCAGCCAGTCTGGATTTGCTCCCTGGACCGAACTACCAGTGTTCAGCGGCTTCCACCGCTATGCCGCTGGTAGATACCCTAGAACTGCTGTAGATAATTCTAGTCGAAATCACTTATGTTTTAGTTTAAGGATAGTTTTGTTGTAATTTGAAAGAAATGTGATACTAACACACAATTTATACCGTCATATATTCTATCAAATTTTTCCCCTCTCTGAAAATATCAATTATTCTCAATATTTCTTAACGGTAAAATGAAAACATAAAAATCGTAATATTTATGAACTGAACAAAACGATTATTTTAAAACATAATAGTCGCTTTTTTTTAATTGAACACTGCAATATATAAAAGGGTGAGCTGCCTAAAGAAAGATATGTTTTCACTGAGAACATTTTAAGAGAAATTGACTCGTACTGGTTTACGCATTAGAAAAATCAAGAAAATCTTATTGTCGGGATTAATCGGCACGGAATATTAAATGCTTTTGCAAAGTTATCAGACTACAGACGTGTAATGAAAGCCCTTTTTTTCGCTATAATATGATAAAAATAATTATAAGACCGGAGCTTTAAAAGGTGTACACGTTATTCATTTTGCAATCATTATTTGTCCAAAATGTTCTCGAGTATTCGTATCCCGTGCACGGAAATCCCTTTGTCACGGAAAATCTTTTCATACTTGTTCAGTTAACATTTTCAAAAAACTTTGTTTATTTATTAAAGCATACATTCCGAAATAGAATTCTACTCCGGTATTATTTTATTATACAAGTTTGCTACTGTAGACCTTTATGAAAATCATATCTGCGTACACTTCTGATGATATGCAGAAAAGAAAATAATGAACATAGCAGTTCGCTATTTAATAGTGAGTATAAATATTGTATAATGTATTACTGATAACAAAATGCAGCAAAACAAATTTAACAAACATAGGTTACTAAGCATAATACTAAGCTACGTAAGCTACTATAATACGTAACACCACAAAGTTATTAAATCTTAGCCAGACAACAGCATTGTATTAAAGCAATGGACTCATAATTTGAGAATCTCAGATTATTAACGGATTATTCATTGCTCTATACGTATGTTTTCAGCGTGAGCAATATTTAAGCTTTTATTTTCTTTCAAAATATGAGATAATATTTCTTGCTAAAATGATTTATATGTAAAACCAACCTTAACAAGTTTCAGGTTACACAAATATTCCATTCAAATTTCACAAAGTATCAATTTTTCATGAGCATTTCTATTGATATTTTTCTTATCGTCTTGCTCTCAATATACAATAGAAATTCCTCTACAATAGAACTATGATTAAGATGCTATGAAAAGTGCTAAACGTTTTCCACCGTTATTATGGACTTGAGTGCAACTATGAATGTGCCTATTGTTGTTATTTCTATATGTTTTCAAATGTATGAAAACCCTCAATATGAATTTGAAGAAACCTCTTTTTATTTCTCCCCTTTTATAGTTCACACTTTATCTGCCTTTATCGGATTTTTTACATTCATTTTTCCATTTATTATTACGAACTTACCAGACGTTTTGCAAAGTGCAAAGACAAGAGAACAATCTAGAACCTCAGGTCATATGACGCTAAGCTGCAATGAGTGTAAATAAAACTCACAGGCAACAACTATTTGATTAAACTTGCATCCCTGTAACTGTAACAATTAAGATAACCGTTGAAAGCTTTTCTTTTCATATGCATTCTAAAGAATATTCATTCTTAAAAATATGATACAAACTCAAATGAACGGAATTAAAATTGTAAAAAATTCTTGCTCATTCATCACTAAACTTCAAACATATAATGTAATTAAGAATAAGTCTTAAAACTTCTTTTCAAAGTATTATTCCATTTTACAGTAAACACGATTCATTTCGACCTGGAAATTAAAACTTTGACAGATCATTTGAAATTCCGATAAATTATTTTCTTTTCAATTTATGTTAAAAAGTACTTTTTTTACACACTTTTTCAAATTTATTTCGACTGACTCCAACTAGTTTAAAAAACTTTGAAAAAATTATATATGGAAGGTTCAACACAAATATGATGTTACACCAGGTTTTGCAAAAATGGAGTTAAATATTATAAATAGTGAGAAGTGCTGAGTCTGAACAGCTGCTAAATTTAAAATATTTTCTTACATATAGCATACTGCATTTTGCAGAAAGTAACTGCTTCTCTCAAATTAACAAGCAAATTAGTCCATTCATTCATTTGAATAGTAAATGAAACGAGTGATCTAAGTTGTTATGATCCTAGTTCGAACGATACATTCCACATGACAACTTAGTTAAAAAAAAAAAAAAAAGGTAATGAAGTCATAAGTTACAATGACAAGAAGTTGGATGGAAAAGATTTAAGAATTAGCAACATTTGCTGAGCAGTTTAAAGAATATAATAATGTCAACCGAAAATATCATTTTTTGGAGTCCTGATGACACAAACTAAGTAGATCTTTGCAATTTTTAGATGCACTGAATCAGGAGGCACTCTAAAAGAGCAATATAATATGACATTTATCATGGAAAATTACACGCTTGATGCTATTAAATATAATTCTTTCTATGATTTGCATTTAAAAAGTTTTGTCAATTTATTTTGCTTTATCTTTTTCAAAGTTCATAACATTATTATCCGATAAGAAAAAAAGAACGGATTAGGTACTGTGCTAATTTACCTTAAGCTGAATGTTTATTGATAATCACTCTGGCCAACTTTTCCATTGCAAATGCAAAATAAGCAACTTCGTAATTTATAACTAATACTGATTTGCCATGTCAGTTACACAAAATAGGTAATTTTCTCCGTAAGATTTAATAGCTCTCATTTATTATTATCATATATAAGGGCAATAAAATTGTTTTGGAATTCTAAATACTTTCAGTGTATTTTTAACGAATGCGCTTTTTCCTCAAAGCTGTCAAGTTACACGAGAAGGTACATGGGCTGTGAGTGCCATGTTAGTATCTATAATTAAGCCTTTTTTTCTCAAATTTCGAATCTAAAGATTTAGTTTTTTCTTACCTTAATTGTTGATAATAAAGAAAATTTTCTGTTTTAATGTCTCAAAGCTATACAAATGTCGCAAAAAGTTTGCTGATTCTGATCGGACTGCAATGAAGTCAAGCTGCATGTCTATGAGCAGGTTTAGGGTTTTGATTCTCTTGTCTCAACAACAGTGGCGTAGCTAGCAAGGAGGGACAGCTGTCCCCGGGCGCAGTATCCAGGAGGCGCCGAATTGATCTTATGAAATTTTAAAATTAAATGTTTTACATTCGTGGTACACAGAAAGGGGCGTAAAATCTTCAGTTATCCCCGTGCACTGAAAACCCTAGCTACATTTCTGCTCAACATAGTTAAAAAAAAACTCCAAAATCTATTCATCTATAGTGGAAAGTTTAAATTTCGGAATTAAAAAAACCAGGAAAATGGTATAGAACTTACGTCTTCTAATATTCTTCTTGAGAAATTTCAATGAAAGTTACACACAGATTATATGTCAAAATAAGTTCAGTTTTTGGTTTATGTCAATAAAATCCAAAACGAATGGTCAAGGCACTGTAATTCCACAGTTTCAAACACACATGAAATAGACTGCCACCTACTACGAATAAATCCACAATTTGATTTTATTAGAAGAGCAACTAAGGGATTTATACCATCCTTTTAATTAATGATTATTTGATGGGGAAAGTAACATAGTTTAGATCAATCATTTTTATTGGCTGAATCTCATGTAACTTTCTCGTTATGAGGCGGGGCTAGTCCGATGATGAAATGATGACGAAAGTTATTCTGGTTACGGTCGAAGTGACACTTATGCGATTAATTAAAGATCGTTCTAAGATGAAACTTACGCTACTTGCCCCTCGAGAATTTGAGGTTAGGTAATAAAAGGTGCAGAAGCAGAACGGTGTTTGTTGCTGTTTGTATCTCTTTCTTTTGTCCTTCTCTTGAAAGAAATCTCGAAAGTTCAGTGTTTTACTTTCTTGGACAGTAACGATCATCTCTGAAAGTGAATTAGACAATTTTATCTTTGCTATGAAGGGTCAGTTATTTTTTCAGGTATCACTCAAATGGAAAATTTGCGAAGATGGTTGAAATGATGCAATACAAGATCTTACTTATTGAGAATTGAAAATACAGATAGATTAATGCATAACGTAATAAATTGAATCTATTCCATTTTATGTTTAAAATGGAAGCAAATTTAATTGCAAATATCAGAAACTTAAGGTTTATTAACTCCTCAAGAAAATTAAAAGAATTAAAATTTAAAGAAAATAACAAAAATTCTGAAATAAGAATTCTTGTTGATCCAAAATAATGATCCAGAATACTTTGAATATGTGGTCTACAAAAACGTTTTTAACTTGAAGAGCGCCTAGAACTATAATTTTCTTTTATTGAGGCTTTAAAATTATAATTTTTGTATAAAACTGTACTTTTTTTAGTGGAATCTCTAACATTCGTAGAAAACTAAATGCTAATAAACCTTTAAAAAGAAATATATAAATTTTAAGAGCACTCTGTGTGAAAAATGGAAAGGAAACTAGTAGATAATTGCATACGGACCTGAGAATTATGAAAACAAATTTATTTCTTATAATATCAGGTAAAATAAGAAAAGAAATAAAAAGCGCTATTTTGCTAAATATTTTAGAAGGTTGTTTAGCTGTCTACATGATACTCAAAAATTATTTCGGATTTTGATCTTGACTTGCAGAACAATTAGAGAAATTGTAAGGAATCTCAAGATTGCGCGAAACACAGTTTGAAGGCCACTTCTTTAACAACGCCAAAAAGCAAATTTAATGTATTTTCTGTGTTCTTGACGCCAAATGTACTTTTTTGTGGAAGATCTGGTGCTTAAGATGAAAAGGAGAATGAAAGTCAAATAGTAAATTAAGGCTACAAAACTGAAATTTAGAAAAAATCTTGTTAAACAAATTAAATGAAATTATTCTCCGAATTTCAATTTTTATGACTAAATATTGATCGGTATAGGTCAAACCAACTGTTATTTAGCTGTCTCATTATTGAAAAGGTTGTCTAAGATACATTCTAAAGAGGGTGATCGATGTTAGACCTGACAAGAAATGGAAAGAAACACAACTGGCTTTTACTCAGAAGTCGAATCCGTACTTTATATTGGTACTAGAAATCAACCTATTCTAATTAATATACCTTTCAAGAAGACAACTAAGAATTTATCATTTTCCCAAAAGCTTTTTTTATAAATGTGACAGTTTTACAGAAAAGGGGGAAAATGCATTTTCATAAAATTTATTCGTATTCGGTACAATTTAGATTTCTTTTAATCAGATATGGATCTTAAAAATGCTACATTACCCAAAATGTTTTGAGAAATCGCTTGTTTTATGTATAGGTCTCATTTCGAAGAAAAAGGATGTGTTTTTGAAGTAAATGTTATTCTTCATATGTCAGAAACAAATTTGTCCTTATGTTGTTGCGGCGTATCTGATTTGGCTGACAGTAATTATCAAAACTTCATGAATTTTATTGGAGCAAGGAGCGCAGGATAGCTTCTGTCGCCGGCATGGGCTTCGGGACCTTATATTTGACAGTATAACTTTGCACACTTCCATTCCGTTTCGAAAAAGAATAATCCGGGTTGCTGGTCAAAGGTTCCCCCACTCCATTTACCCTACCTCACTCGAGAAGACGTTCAACTCGCTGTATATTTTGAGTGCCCCCATGCGGAAAAAAATAAAAATGCTCACTTAAAACATTCAAGTCTTCTTCGAAATTGGGTACCTTGAAATTGAGTCAATAACGCTAATCTTTATACCGATTAGTATCGGATCTATTTTTGCAATCAGTTATGCAAGAATGCAGAGGTAGAGTATACAAATTATAAAAAAATTCAGGCGCGTAAAAAAATTCAGACAAGATTCCCGAGACTTTTTCAGGAATAGGAAAAGGCACACAATAAATTTTAAGAGTTGATAAGAACTATACTGGAATATTAACCAAATTTTGAGTTAAAAATGGCATAGAAACCACACATGCAAAAATGTTTAAATTCAGTTTGTTTGTCATTTATTAGCTATTTCTGCCTTTTATTTAAACATTCGTCATCAAGAATGTTGGGATAGGTAAAAGATTGTTTTTCACTGAATGCATTAATTAAAACCGCGTAAATTATAATTTTTTTTTAAAATTAAAAACATTTTTAGGGAAGTCTCTGAAATTGTTTGAGAGTTATATTACGTTATGTTATGTTGTAAAGAATTCATTATCCAATGCGCTGGCAAGCCACTCCAGCAGCATTGGACTATAGTATACCGATTACTAAAAACTCACAGCTAACTATTAGTGACCTTAGCAATCACTTGATCATGGGTTTGAAGGTCATTATTATCTTTCTTCTATGACCAATGATATCCTTTGATTTGATTTAATTTAATAATTTAACTAAATTTACTGTAACACCTTACACAATGACTTTAAAGATTGACCCCCTAGCGTCACCGCCAGTACTTAGCGACAATGTGTACGTCAACCAACAGCTTTGATGGGACTCGTGTCTTTCTATTCAATTTTATTTAAAACAATAGCTGAAATTTACTCTCTGCAAAATGACTTTAAATCGACCTTCAGTGACGTAAGATTCTAAGTTTCTGGTCGTCAGCCTTGGCGGAGTTTTTATCTTTTTTATTTGAAATTAAAAATGTATCGAAATTTCCTGCGCAACAATGGAAATTTTTACCTAAATTTACTGGTAATTCATTAATAATTAGTATGAGGTGGGTGACAGTATTCTGGTTCAATGGATGGTTAGCGTCAATTTGTAGATCATCAGCGGTCGACAGCCTTCTCAGATACAACTATTATTCCAACTAATTTTACTTTAATTAATTATATTTAAATTTATTGCACCATCTCACATTAGCGACCCATTGGTTAACCCATTGGTCAACTCACTGATCACCAGTGGCCTTGACGGACATTGACGGTTGTTTAAGACTAAAAGCCTTTACTGGCGTAAGCAATATTTTGGTTAAACCTTAATTTAAGTATCTCTACAAATTTATTCCATTCCATTAAAGTTTATTTTGAGTTAATTTAAGTTGGTGACCTATGGCTGACTCGAATGTGTTCAGTTTACAAATCACAAATCCTCCCTTATAGCCATCTGGATCTTTATTTTACTAGTTTTGATTCCAATATTTATCCAAATTTTCTGCATATTTTGTTTGCTCCGTAAATTTGCTGAAAATTGGTGACCTACAACTTGATTCAAAGTGACCTTCAACTCATAAGTGACCAGGAATTAACACCCTTGAAAGGAACTGACATATTCCGATTTAAATTTGATTTAAAAATCTATCTAAATTTGCTGCATCGTTTCACATTAGTAATCTATGGCCTGGTTCAAAGTGACCTTAGCCTGCAGGTGAACGATGTTCCTGCCGGACACTTATAGGCTTCCATGTGCTTCGATTTCATTTTAATGGGCTTCCGTGTACTTCGATTTCATTTCGATGGGCTTCCGTGTGTTTCGATTTCATTTTAATTTAAATATATGACATTGCAGAGCAGCACTCTTGATGAGCTTAATGAGTGATTAAGAGAGTGATTTTATTTAAATTTATGTTACAGTTCCAAACCCGTTGTTTAGCGTTTGAGTGTAAATGATCCTTAGCCTCTTGGTCACCGATGATCTTGATGGCCATTAATTAAGAGTGATGACAAAATGGCTTGACTGTAATCAGGATACTTTAATTGAATTTTAATTTAAATATTTATCTAAACTTCATACCACCTCAAGTTGGTGACTTATGGGTTGATCTCAATTAATCTTCAAGCTGTAGACCACCTTTGACAGGCGGAAATCAATGTACTTCGATTTTAATTTAAATATCTGTCTAAATTTATTGCACTACGCCACATTACGACCCAAATGTTAACTTCAAGGAATCATCAGTCTGTAGTCAACAGTGATAACCGCTTGAAACCTGCTTATTTAAATTAAATTTAAAAATCGATTTAAAATTAATAAACTGTCCCACACTAGTGATATATTGGTTAATTTTGAACTGATCTAGAGCTTGCAAATCAGCAGTGATCTTGACGGGCATTAATGGGCGCTGAGAGCCAGCTGCTTTGACAGGCTTCGATACATGCTTCGATTAGTTCAGTTTTAATTGGAACATACATATAACATAACTGCATCACATCTCAGTGGGTCACAGTAGGTTGATTAAAAACGATCCGCAGTGTAGGTCACCGGTAAACGTGACTGGCACTCTGACTAGCAGTCTCGAAGGATATCAGTTTGCTTACATTTAATACTAATTTAATAATATAAATTTTCTGTGTTACTCCACCGGACTGATGGACAGGATTAGTCTATATGTCCTTTAGGACATCCATGATCAACAACCCTTAAAGGAGCTAGAGTGTTCAGATTTAATTTTAATGAAAAAAAAAATCTTAATTTACCGCATCGACCCACACCGGTGACCTACTGATTTAGTCCGAGTTGTCAAGTAGTAGGTCACATGTGAAACATATCTCCTATCTAATCGCGATTCTCTGGTGCATTTCCTTTTCGTTCGATAG